TGGCTTCCTCTGCATAATATTTAACTGCTGTACTACGGGGCTGACCTCTCTAAGGGCTTTGAGAAGAATCTTGTTCCAGAAGAATGCTTCTCTCCTTTGGATCTTTTAACAAAATTCAAGAACAAGATGAAGTGCTTGAACTGATTACTGACTTAAACTATATTCAACGCTATTATAAACAGGATTTTCCAGAAACTGTTCATTATTTAAAAATTTTTACAGCTGGTCATCAAGTGCCCAATGATGACACTATTCTTAAATTCAAATGTGCTGTTAATAGATTTTTGAAAGAAAATAAAGGTAACAATGAACTCATTGGCATCCACTGTGCTCATGGTTTAAATAGGACTGGCTACATCGTTTGCAAATACAGGATTGATGTAGAGGGCATGAAGCCAGATGACGCAACTGAATTATTTAATAGGTGCCAAGGACACTGCTTGGAAAGACAAAACTACATTGAAGACCTTCAGAATGGTCCTATCAGAAAGAATTGAAATTCTGGGGTATTCAGGTCAACTGGTTTTGAAGACTCAGGACACCTCATGAAACTAGTCTATGCCACAAATAAGTCTATTAACAAAGTACCTAGTTATAACCTACATCAGACTCAACACTTTGGCATTTCCACACCCAGTACCCAAATTTACAGGTTATTCAATATTTTGCATTTCCACATTCAGTATCCAAATTTGCATCGGCTAGTCAGAAAATTTTCACAGAATCTGTATGTTTACCAGAGTCCCTAACCGTCCTCCTGGTCCCCCTGGAAAGAACTATTTACAAAGGAGATTCTTGGAATGTGAAGCCAGGTGCCAATCAAGCACAACAGAACACTATGCAATATTCAAGGAATCCTCACAGGTAGTGTGGACTCTTGTAACCAAGCCTATTGGGGACGCACCTAAGGATGCAAACTTTTCATGGAAACCTACCTGGAGACCAGAGTTGGGCTCTTTAAAAATAGCTGGAGTGACTTTAATCAGTCATGTTAAATGAGGGTTTTCAAATCTATTTTATTGATTCCTTATGTGCTCAAGCTCAAGGGAAAATTTACCTCTTTGCAGATAAATCTGCAGTAATTACAGCAGTGTAGGAGAAAAACAAAAATCTCATTCCAGGCTTGGTTTTTTTCTAAAGGAAAGTGGAATTTTTTATAACTAACAAAGTATTAAGAACTTTCCTTGCAGATATTTTACAAATTTTTCCTTTTCTGTGTATTTTCTTCTGATTAGACTTGTGATATATACAGAAAGTATGTATACAGTGAGTATATACAGAAAGTTTTTGTGTTTGTGTTTTACTATATTATTGACCTAGTCATAAAGGGTATTCCCCCCAACTATTCAAAATTTCTATTAAAATCTACTGGGAGACCATTTCTTTAAAATCTTGCCACTATAATTGTGGTATTTTTGTGATGAGATATTTCTTTCCTTGGTAGCTGATTATGAGATTTGACCAACCTTCTTTCACTGAACTGTCATCTAACACAGAAATGGATAAACTTTTAGGCATTGTTAGCTGAGTAAGAGAGACACTGATACACTAGAATTCTGGTTTATTAAATTACAGCAAGTAGTTTACCTGACAGGGCAATTGTCATTAACTGGGTCGAACAATCCAGAAAATTTGAAACGTGCATATAGGTTGCTTAATGAACAGAGTAAGGTCTGACTATTAGCCCAGGATATCTGGGAAAACTGCTGTGTTATTGGACAACGGGGATCTTTCTCCAGGTGCCTCTCACAGTGGTGACTTACCTTGCCTTTTTCTAAGCTGTTGATTTTGCTGTTTACCTCTAAACAGCCAGACACATCCTTTTGGGAGGGTATTCATTATTTTTAATTGCCCAGCAAAGTATCTCATCATTAGTAAATATCTCATGAATACTTGGGCAACTTGGCTTCATTTTTGTAAGCCTCCAATTTTGAGGGTTTATATCATAAAGTGCCTGACGCTATACTGGATTGTTCTTTTTCCTATAGGAACATATGGAATTGACCTCTAACTCACCTGTTCTAGTCTGCATCTGATTAGCTCAGGTCATCTAATGATGGCTCATAAAGTTTTTCTCTGCTATCACATGTAGCAAAGATACAGAAGTTCTTGCCAACAGACTTCTCTTGTAGAACTGTTCCCCAGGAAGCATCATGAAGGCTCACCTGTAAAGAAATTGAAATGAGACTAGTAGTGAGGTGAAAAAGCAGCAGCAGGGGCTGCTATGGGACTACAACTTGCCTAATCATGTTAAAGGACCCTTGGGGGAACCAGCGGTTAGCGTAATGGCTATGTTGCTGGACTCCCACGTAGTCGACCATGGTTCAAGTCCTGGACCTGATGGCTTAAACTCACACCGGGCACGTGTGTGTGCATGCCCAAGATCCCGAGAGGAGAACGGAGGAGAAGGGATTGTGGCATGGCCATCCTCCCTGGGGGATGATTTCTCGCTTTCTATCTCTCTGTCTCTCTCTGTCTGTCTGGCGAGTGCACGTGCCCTATAGTGAAAACCTCTCAAAAAAAAAAAAAAAAAAAAAAAAAGGACCCTTGGCAAAGCAGCATCTGAGGACACTGCTGGCACAAGGGTCATTGTAAGCACTGTCACCTTGAAAAAAATGTTCTTGACCTTATTGTGCCTTCTGTATTCCCCATTTCAGTTATCATGGCTTGTTAAACAACAAAGTCTCCATCTAGGGGTAGTAGAGTTGTGTTAAAACACAATGCTCTGTGAGGGTGACCCATGTGGGGAGATTCTGGGTTTGCATCCGGAGACCTGTCTGAGTGCAGGGTCCATGGGTGCCCAAGATCCAGGGCTGGCTGAGACTGGGGCTGGTCGTGGAGTGAACATCATTTTGGGGGTGCTGTCTGCCTCTGTCTTTCTAGCTCATGAAAGAAGTAACTAAAAATAATATTACTTGAGAAGTGATGAATATTAAAAAAAAATAAAGAAACTAGTCACCATTTGGGGGGAAAAAAGAGAAGACTTTCCTCCAGAGAAGATACACAATCGACCAATAACCAGATGAAGATGTCAAACATGACTAATCGTTAGGTAAATGCAAATCAAAACCACAATGACAGGCTGTGTCACATCCATTGGTATTACTGTTATAAAAACAAAGCAAGAGCTGGTCCCATAGCCTAGTGGTCAAGGGAGACAGACTGCACAGGGCTGACTGCATGGTTTGAAACCTGGTCTGAGCAGCTGACAAAACACAAGGAACACATGAACATAGGTGCTCAAAAATCCCAACGGGATGCCGAAGTGGAGCAGAAGGGATTGTGGCATGACCATATCCCATTGGGCTCTCTCTCTCTCTCCCTATGGCAACATTTTAAAAAAATTCTTCCTGGGAACCAGCAGTTAGCGTAATGGCTATGTCGCTGGACTCCCACGTAGTCGACCATGGTTCACGTCCCGGACCCGGTGGCTTCATAAAACTCACACCAGGCACGTGTGTGTGCGTGCCCAAGATCCCGAGAGGAGAATGGAGGAGAAGGGATTGCGGCGTGACCATCCTCTCTGGGGGGTGATTTCTCACTTTCTGTCTCTCTGTCCCTGTCTGTCTGGCGGGCGCACGCGCCTATAGCAAAATAATCTCTCCAAAAAAAAAAAAAAATTCTTCCTTACACATTAAGGGCCCTTATATGGTAAGGACCTTCCCAGAACAAAGGAAAGGCACCGTAGCATAGCCAGTATTCATGGATGAATGTGGAATTTTATTGCCTCTTTGTAACTCCAAGTACATATGTGTGACCCTCTAGCAACCCTATAGTATAGGTCACCCGATAAAAATGTAACCTACTATATAAGAAGGACAAAAGGACTAAAATGTAAAGGAAAAAAAAAAAAGCACAGAAAATACACAAGGCAATGTCCCGTTATGATAGGGACTCAGGCTTTGGAATCCGCCGAGCCAGCCACTGCTTCCTGCCAAAAGGCTGGATGTCCCATCCCTCTGGCTAAAATCCTGTTATACTGCCACTGAGCACCACTTACCATACATTCTGAAACTCAGGGATAACGCCTGAGTGTTACATATCCCATGTGCTATGTGCTTTACACATCCTATCTCCTTCAAGCATTTTTCAAATATTTATAGGAAATATTATTTTACATTAGAAGAAACAGGCTCCTGAAAGGTTAGGTCCTTATCTAAGGTGACATAGCCAGTAAACGGAAGAGGCCAAATTCACATTTAATCTTGCTGATTGTTAACTTAGTTCCATCAAACAGGAAACTTTTTCACCTTTTAGATAGTTTAGAAAGAAAACCAATTTATTTTCAAGGCATTGAGCAGATTCCTTGCTCACAAGGTTCTTTGTAAGAAGCTTGTCGTGAATATGAATTGTTATTCTAACAAGATTCCAGAACATCTGAAGAGGAAGGATCAAGTTATGCACCTTTCAGTTGATGGAATATTTTCTTTAGGATCTCCATAGCAAGATATTTGAATCCCTCTACGTGCCCTCAGGGAACCAAAGAAAGAACAGGTGACAAAACAGTAAACGCTAACCTGTGTCATCCAGGAAAAAAGGCCAACCATGCGTTGGGACAGTGGAAGATTTCAGGGGAAAGTCAGGACCTTAAAGGATTAATAAGGTATTAATGCTCAGAAGGAAGCGAAGAGGGACATTCTGGGGCAGAAGACGGTGAGCAAGAGTAGTAGACGATTATAGCTCTCTAAAACCCTTTGTATGGACGGACTTCCACAAGGCGTGTGTCACCGGCAGCTTTGTTTATCTGGTGACATTATGGTAAAAGGAAGTTACCTTGAAGTTTCTAAAGTAAGAACGAGCTGGTCTAGGAGCGTTAGGTCACTGAGCTCGGTCCCGGTGCCTCTGGCGCCCCTTAGCGGAGGCTCAGTTTCTGCAGTCCCACTCTCCGAAACCTCTAAGAGTTGGAGGAGTTAACATTTGCCCCCGCATTCGCCAAATGGGTTCCTGAAGAAGGGACGCAACGCGCACCTACCCACCGCGCACGCGCGAAATCCTTCTCGCACAAAGACCGCGGGATGAAGACTAAGCGCAAGCGCTTCTCGTCTCTCCGAAAATAACGTCATCAAGCCTCCTGGCAAAGGGGTACCAGAATGAGGCATGCGTCCTGAGGCCTTTCAGGACTTATTTCACGCTGTCGGAGTCAGTGACGTAATGACAGAGAAGGAGGAGCGGAACGGAAGCCGGGAGGGAACTAGGGCGGAAGGGGTTCAGGGCCAGGGTTGTGTTCGGCGCCTTGGCGGGGCTGGGGTTCCGATGTGGTCCCCGGAGCGGGATGCCGAGGCCCCGGCCGGGGGAGACCCGGCGGGTCTCTTTCCCCCCGAGTGGGAAGAAGATGAGGAACGCATGTCCTTCTTGTTCTCCGCCTTCAAGAGGAGTCGCGAGGTGAACAGCACCGACTGGGACAGCAAGATGGGTTTCTGGGCGCCGTTGGTGCTGAGCCACAGCCGCCGCCAGGGGGTGGTGCGCCTGCGTCTGCGGGACTTGCAGGAGGCCTTTCAACGCAAGGGCAGCGTCCCGCTGGGGCTGGCCACGGTGCTGCAGGACCTGCTGAGGTGAGGGGCGGGCCGGGCCGGGGCCGGGGCCTGGAGGGCGGGCGGGGGCGGTGCCCCAGGGCCGGGACCTGGTCCTGTTCTTCGGCAGCGCACTGCACCCAGCCCAAGGGCTAGCCCATCCAGAGTAATCGTCCAGTGCTTGTTCAGTAGGCAAAGGGACCTGGCCTATAGGTGTTTGGAGGGAGAGGAAGATGGGATGATGGGGTGATGGGGGAGGGAGCGGGATAGTGCCTTTAGGTAGAACGAGAAGTCAGCCTGGCATAAGTGACAGTAATTTCTCTGGACTGGAGTCTCATGCATTTCTTTCATTAGGGCCTCTACATTGGAATTACGCCTGCAGCAGAAGGTCTGTCAGAGCTGAGAAGAGGGCAGTTGTGGGGAAGTGGCCTGTAGGGATCTTGCCAACCACCCCTGGCACAGGTCATGCATCTGGCCTGTCTGGCGTGTCCTTGGCCCAGGCTGTGCGGAGTAGAGAGGACCTGAAGGAGGGTGAGAGCGTTACTGAGTAACTTGGTGCCCTGAGAAGGTCTGCAGGTGATACGCGTGTGACACATCGTGTTCGGAGGTAGCATTGGTATCCAGTAGATGAACAGCCAGGCAAAGTATGCAGATACTTCAGGTACACCATTCCATCTGACCCTCTCGGCAGTCTTGGTGAGAAGTGATAGAAGTATCCTCAGCAGACAGAAGAGAAAACTGAGGCTCAGATCAAGTGACTTACTCAAGGTTACACAGCTGGGGTAATGCCCGGTAGTGCCAGGACTGGACCCCTAGTCTTCGGATTCTAAACCACTTGTACTTCACTTGCACTATATAAGATATGGAGTGCCTTCTGTAAGCCTAGCATGGGCCTCCCTCACTGAATGAAAAAGAGGACAGACCATCAACTCTGACAACGGCTTTGTTTAAGCCCGCCACTCTTTCTAATTAAGAAGTCTCTCTTCTTTCTTTCTGTTCCTAGTACCTTTCCATTGAGGCTGACATTGATATGACAAGCCTCCTTGCAGTTCTTTCTGAGAAGGTGTACTGTGAGAAAAAATTTAGTTCTTGCTTTAAGTGGGGAACACAGGACACAGCAGCTGAAGAAGTCAGGGACAAAACCAGAACTGTGTGGCAGAAGCACAGTGGTCTACCACTTCCAATCCAGAGACCTTTCAGTCCCTCAATATCTTCCTTCCTGACGGCTGGCACTCTGCTGAAGCCCCTGGTGCTTGAGCAGGCCTGGCATCTGCAGTTCAGATGGTGCCATTTCTCCAGGGAAGCAGCATAGCTTAGTGGTTAACAGCTTTGTTAAAGGGCCACACCCTTAAGGGCCAAACATAAAGTTTGAACTGTGCTATTGACTAAATTATGTGACCCTTGGCAATTATTTGTCATTTTTAATTTACCAATCATAACATGGTGATCGTGATTGTACTTGGGTTTCGTGTGAGGACTTGAAGAGCTCTTCCTTCTGTATTCTTTATATAGTCCTTAGTCTAGTGACTGGTCTCTGCTTTCTGTGGATTTAGCGGCTGCTGTTATTACCAACAGCATGAAATGCTTACATCTTAGCTTCACCCTAGTTGTAGGAATAGGAGAAAGCCCTTTTTCTGTACATCTTTGTATGCTTCCTTATGTCTGACACTTGTTATTTTAATTTTATTATTTTGAGCTCTATCCGTAAAAAGAATGGGCCCTCAGTGTGGGCCCAGTAGCCTGTTGCGTTTGTCATGGTGGCAGAACACTTGTGTTTTGGAGCCACATAAGTCATGGATTAGATTCGGCCTCTCCTTACCTTCTCTTGTCCCTCAATTTCCAATTAGTTAAAATGTTAATAAAATCATCTGTCTTGTAGAATTGTGAGGTTAGAGCTGGAGTATAAATGGTCCTTCTTACAGTCCTTACCAGCAGAGTAGGTGCTTAATAAATGGGAGTTATGATGATGATAAAATTTCTTTTTGGGGTGTGGGGAACAGTGGGGACTGGAATGGTACATTGCATTGAGTGCTATTGTATGGCCTTCTCTTTCTTTCACTGCAGACGAGGGGAGCTGCAGCGGGAATCAGACTTCATGGCCAGTGTGGACAGCAGCTGGATCTCCTGGGGTGTCGGAGTCTTCCTACTGAAGCCCCTCAAGTGGACTCTTTCTAACATGCTGGGGGATAATAAGGTTCCAGCAGAGGAGGTCCTCGTGGCTGTGGAGCTACTTAAGGTAGGTACTTAGAAGAGATGGGTTTGGGGTCACCTGGTGTAATCACAGGGTCCTCCATATTCCTCATGTACTTATTAGAAAAAACTCTTGTATTTATTTACATGACAGTGGAGTTGATCACTGAGTTTATCTGACTTCGCGTGTACTGTACTTTGTAGCATTAGCTGTTAGTTGGACTTTTACCTTTCAAGATTGATCTTTTGGGAACTTTGTCAGTAACTAAACAGTTGATTATAGTTTAGTACTTACAGGGATTAATGATAAGCCATAGTTTAGGAAATGTCCTGTCTTCTGTAGAATTTATTAGGATTTCTGAGGACCTTGAGACCTCAGATCTTACAGTTTTCTTACTGTCTTCCCATGAATCAGCAAACAGGCTTGGATTTCCTACTATACTCATTTCCCCTTCCAGCCTACTGATAGCCTGCCTTTCACTATTCCGGCTCTTCTGTCTCAAAGAGGCCTTCAGAACCTTGATCTCTTCATATTCTCCCTACCAGTCATCTTCCTCCTGGCCTATCTCCCCTGCCTAGCCTAGACTTCGTTGATTGCCTGGCTGGCCCCCAGTCAATATCCTCAGCTCTTTTGCATCTCTCCTGGTCCATATTAAGAGACAACCAACAAATCCACAGCCTTCAGTAAACCTCATAGTCAGCCATCCCTGCTGGAGAACATCACTCTGTCACCTATGCTAGGAACCCTCCTGATCTCTAGCTTTGGGAGGGCCCCTCACTTGCCTCTTCCATTGTCTGCCCTCTACACTCTGCATCAGTTCAGGGAGAGGGTAAGGCCTCCTGAGTCTGGACTTCAAGTTTCTTCCCTCCATCTCAAATTTAACCTACTCTGGGCCTTTCTGTCTCCCTAAGCTCGGAAGGAGGCATCCTTCCTCTGCTCCACATGTGGACTTGTGTCTGTCTCCACCCACTTTGTCCTCTTGACCCATCCATTAACCTCTTGTCCTATTCTTATATTCCATTTCCTGCTCTTGCTTTTTTCTATTATGGTTTTTGCCATAGGTAAGGCACGTGCCCACTAGAGAGAGGCAGAGAGAGGGTAAGTGAGAAATCACTCCCCAGAGCAGGTGGCTACACCACAGTGCCTTCTCCTCCACTCTCCTGTTGGGAGTTTGGGCATGCACGCACACATGCCTGATGTGATTTTTCAAGCCATTGGGTCTGGGACCCAAATCATGGTCAGCTCTGTGGGAATCCAGCACCTTAACCACTATACCATCTACTGCCCCCATCTCCCTCTCTTGATGCTCTCCTCCTTTAGCCTCTAAACCCACTCATGCTGTTTCCATCACAAACCAACCAGTCTGCTGCCTGGTTACTGCTCCGTCTCTCTTATTCTCAACTCACCTTGTTGTTACCACTTCCTCATTTCCTGTTCATTCTGTAACCCAGTGGAAGCCTGCTTCAGGCCGGCTACTCCAGCAGCACTCGATGGGCAATACAGGCAAAGCTGCAGGAACCTCTCGATGCATGTGTGTGTTTAGAGTTGACTCAGTGATCACTGGGTAGCAGAGCTATACTGCACACATTTTGAAACTCGTAGACCAAACCCAGCCTCAGGGCCTCGCATACCTCTGGAGGCTTCCTTTCAGCTGGGACCAGTTCGGAATCCCCACCTCTGACCCCAGGAGAAGCACCATTTTCTCCTCATAGGTATGCCTTGGATTGAGGAAAAGATCTTCAAAATCTACCACTCTCTGCAGTCTCTCCAAGACTTCTGATGGAGCAGCCCACGTTTTCTTTTTTTTTTCTTAAATTGTTTTATTCAACTTCATTTATTTATCTATTTAATTTTTTTTTTTAATTTGACCAGAAAGAGACAGAGTGAGAGAGAGTGAGAAAGAGAGAGGAAAGTGAGAGAGCAAGCTGCCAGGTCAGGACTCGAACTGTGGTCAGCCATGTGGGAGTCCAGCGCCCTTAACCACCATGCCACCTGCTGGCCCCAAGCCCACATTTTCTTGCTTGCACTCTCCGTTCCCACCTATGTTTGTTCCCCTACCCAGTGCCCTGATCTCCAGAGCTCAGTCAAGGCCCCTGCAGAGACTATAGGATGGCTTGGGTGATTCTGGTCAAGCATATGTTCTCTTTAAGGTCTCAATGTAAATGTCCTCCAACCCAGAGCAAGGGTGAAGCTGACCCACTGATGCCCACAGATGTGCTTTTGGACTCATGATCAGTAAAAGCAGAAATGTGGGTGGGGTAGCATTCCATAGATCTTCCAGAACCAACAGTACTTTTTT